GCAGATACCTGTGGATATAAAGCATGTATCCACGGATGTGTAGGGCTCTAGTGATAAGAAAGTTATATCATCTTTCTTTACAAGATATTGGATTTTTTAGACAAGGGAAATGTAGAAGATCTAATCTAAATGCATGCAAGTAAGGCATTCGATATGGTGCCACATGAGAAATTATTTTAGTTACATTAGAGAAGATGGGGATTCATGAGAGAACTGAAAAGTGGATAAGGAACTGGATAAAGGGAAGGCTAAAACAGGTCATACTGGAAAGTGAACTGTCTGCTAGGGGAAGATTACTAATGGAATTCCTCAGAGATCAGTCTTGGGACCAAGCTTATTTAACATTATTGACTATGGAACAGAAAGTGGGAGTGGCTCATAACATTTGCAGATGACACAAAGTGGGTAGGAAGGATGTTAGATAGCAGGTAATAGAATAGTCAACTAACTGCATGAATTCTTAATGGTTAGTCGACCATTCTATAGTCCCTGGGGACAGAGCTGGCAGCCAGTGCACTCTGGACCCACTCCCAGGGAGCCCACTGCTGCCAGGCGGGAGCCAGTGTGTGAGGGGAGCCAGTTTAAAAACCAGCTCCCCTCGTGGACCAGCTGCCGCCCCGCACTGCTGCCTCTGATACGAGGTGGCAGCAGTCCTTGTCCACAGGGGGCCCAAGCTCTCCACGGACAGGGACTGCTGCTGCAAAGCAACCTCTGCCCGCAGTGGGCCCAGGCTCATCATGGAGAGAGGCTGCTTCAGCAGCAGCCCCTGTCCAGGGGGAGCCTCGTCTGCTCCCCCTCACCCCCGCTGCCTAGGCTTATCAGTTAATTGCCTATTTGACTACTCATTCACATCTCTTGTCGATAGGTGCTGCCAATACTGAGGAGGACCAGAATACCATGCAAGAAGATCTGAAGAACCTTGCGCAATAGAAACAGGATAGTATTTAATAGTGCAAAGTCTTGTATTTAGGGACTAACAACAAGAATATTTTATAGAAGTTGGGGACTTATCAGCTGGAAGTGACAGTGGGGGAGAAAGAGATGGGTGACCATAAGTCAGTGGTGGGCAACCTGTGGCCCATGGGCTACATGCAACCCATCAGAGTTCTATGTATAGCCTGCGAAACATTTTATTTACTGTTGCCCATGCACAAGATTGCTAAATTCCACTGGTTTCTGTCCACGTAATTAAGAGACTCAAAGTGCTTGGGCTTGTTTAGTTTACGCAATAGCAGGCTGAAGGGAGATATTCATACACAAGAATCATATATCAGAGGGATAGATACCAGGAAGAGAGAGGAGTTATTTAAGTTGAGCTTCAATTTGGACCCCAGGACAAATGCATGTAAACTACACATCAACAAATTTAGGTTTAAAATTAGGCAAAGGTTTCTAACCATACAAGGAGTGAAGTTCTGGAGCAGCCTCCCAAGGAGAACAGTAGGGCAGGGGAAAAACCCTAACTGGCTTCAAAACGGAGCTTGAGAAGTTTATGGTGGAGATGGTATAACAGGACTGCCTACAATGGTATGTGGCCCGTTGGTGACTGCCTACGGCAAAAATCTCCAGTGGTTGTAGATGGAACACGAGGGTGGGAGGGCTCTGGGTTACTACTGAAAATTCTCTCTCTGTTATCTGCTTGTTGGGTCTTGGCCACATGCTCAGGGGCTAATGGGATCATCATATTGGGGTCAGGAAGGAATTTCCCCCCAAGTCAGATTAGCAGAGACCCTGGTGGTTTAACTAGTGTAAATGGTGGATTTTCTGTCACTTGAAATCTTTACATCATGATACCAGAACATCAGCCAGAGGTGAGGATCTATTACAGGAAGAAGTGGGTGAAATTCTGTCGCCTGCCATCTGTAGGAGGTCAGACTAGATAATCAGAATGGTCCCTTCAGACTTTAGTAAGAGTATCTGAGTAAGAATATACATTACAGTGTTAAACCTAATCAACGTCCCATAAATGGCTTGCCACAAGATGTTAGAACAAATGTCAGTATTTGAGCTGAGTGAGCCTAGTATTTAATTTTTTTTACTTGATATAGGAATTAGCAGGGCTCAACAAACTGCTGAATCTACTCGCCCGTGGTGAGTAGATTTCAGCCGGTCGCTCCATGCGCCCCATTCACTGGTCTGGCGCATGTGCGGTGCGGGGCTAGCGAGTAGCTCTTGCTGGGGTTTGTCAAGCCCTGGGAATTAGAAATATGAGAGGAGCATTGTAAGTTATCTGCAAAGACACTAGAGTTTTCAGTTGCCTAAGTAGCCCCCATTAAAGTTGTACACCCCTCAAATATGAAATGGCACCTTGTGGGCAGGCACAGAATTTACACCCCCTCCCATGTACAGTCCCATTGGCCTGACGGGAGAACCTCCCCCACAAATACAGAAGTCACACTATGTCTTTGGGAGTCTCTCTCAGTGATGCCTTTAATCTGCTCTACAGAAGTGGAGCATGGCTCAATGTAAGCTGTGTCCAGGCTAGGGGGTGCTGCCAACTAGGACAAAAAAAACCCAACTCATATTTGGGCTGAACTACTAGATGCCCTCTGTCAAAGACTCCTGCCGTTTGCATTCTTCATGGTGGTTTATTTTATAAAATTGCTGCCTTTGTGACAAACATGAGAAACAGACAAACCCACACTTTCTGTGACTTGCACCAAAGGGGCACCTTAATTAGTGGCCTTATCTAAAGCCTACTGCACAGAATGAACAGCATCCCTTTGACTCAGCAGGCTTTGGAAGGACCTGTAGACCTTCACTCAAGGGATTTATTCTCACTTCCATGCATAAAATGATTTAATTCCAACAGTGAAAGCCAGGAGAGCTGAGGCCCAGAGAAGCATTCACCCTCTACACACATACAATCGTAAAATCTATTTTAGAGGAGTATCCTTAGAGTGACAAGGAAATATCATGTCAGATGCCTTGTAAAACTTAAAAATACTAAACTGGAAATGGTATTAAATATTTGGGAAATATTTATGTTTTTACGAAAGAAAATTTTTGGTTTCCTACAATAGGCAATAAAATGTATACAGAAGCTAAAATAATGTGTGTGTGGGGAGGGGGGGCTCTATTTGCGATCCATGTAGGATCCAGATTCAGGGAAGTACCAAAAATAGAGACCAATGTCACCCTTCTCTTCCTCCTCATACTTCCAAAGAGAGGCACCAATTACTGCAGCAGTACTAGATTCCTGGGCACCATAAGCCTGGTTCAAGAATGCTAATAAAAATTGCAGGTGACACAAATTTGGAAGATACTGCCAATAGGAAGAAGAACCAGAATGTCATACAGCTTTGAAAACTGGAATATTAGAAATGGGAATAAATTTAATAGTGCAAAGTCTTGCACTTGGGAACTAACAATAAGAATTTTTGCTATAAGCTACATTTTTGCATATCAGTTGGAAGTTACTAGGGATGTAAACAACTAGTTGACTCAACTAGTTGCTTCCCCTGCCCTTGCTGTCTCTATCAGAGAGAAGCAACCAAGGAGCAGGAGCTGATCCTGGGGGGCCACCGGTGAAGTCGGTCCCTCCCCACACTGTCTCAGAGAGGCAGGAGAGGCACAGAAGGAAATGGCACAAGCGGGGACTGCTTCCGTGCCTGCTCACAACAGTTCCCACTGTGAGAGCTTCTGCTTTTGAAATGTACAACCCTATGGGGCTCTTGTACATTTCAAAAGCAGAAGTGCTGTAGGGAACATGGGGTGAGCAGGGACTCACGCAGTCCCTGTTCACCCCATGCTCTCTGTGGCCCCCCCTTGCTGCCTCTCTATGGAGGGTGGGGGGAGTTTGACAGGAGCCGGTGCTAGAGGGATCCGGCGCTAGAGGGATCTGGCTTAAAATCTGGTTCCACCAGCACTGTCTCCAGGGTGCTGCCTGCCTCCTCCCACTACCTCTGATAGAGGCAGTGGCAGGGAGGGATAGGAGACACTGCTGCGAACCAGCCCTGGTCCGCAGGAGTCCTAGCGGGGAGCTGGGCTCCCCCATGAAGAGGGGCATTTGCCACCAAGCAACCCACAGTGGCTAGAGCTGGCCACGGACAGGGACTGCTGCCTGAGCAGCCTCTGCCTGCGGCCAGCCCTGGCCACCATGAACAGGGGCTGCTGGACTCAGCAAGAGTTGGGACTGAGTAGTCCCAGCTTGTGCTGAACACCGTGTCTCTGCATTTTAAACACAGTAAGAGCCTAATGGCTCTTACTACATTTAAAATGCAAAGCCACAGCACAGGTGGCTCTGGAGCCAGCAAGAGCCAGGACTGCTCAGTCCCAGCTTGAGTAGGCTCCTCTGGAGCTAACCCCACCGCAGCTCTGCAGAAGTGCTTATTGACTCTCATAATTGATACACATTGTGCCCATGAAAGCTCATGATACCTTTTATTTGTTAGTCTCTAACAGGACCTCTCGTCTTTTAGGGTTTGGTATTGTCATCCTTACTTCTGCATTGCTGCTGGCAGGGCACTGCCTTCAGATCTGGGCACCCAGCCAATAGCTGCTGCTCTTTGGCCACCCAGCTGTGAAGGAAGCACAGAAGTAAGGTGGCAATATTGTGACACCCTGAACACAAATAACCTTGCCACTCCCCATGCAATTCCCTTTTGGGTCAGGACCTCCAATTTGAGAACTCCTGGTCTCCTCCCGTGAAAGCTATACAGGAGGCCCTCAACTTGCGACGCAATCCATTCCTGGGGAAGCGTTGCAAGTTGGGGGTGTCGTCACTCAAGCTCTCATTTACGATAGGTGCCATGCACCATCGTAAATACGGGCCAGGGATGTAAGTCGGGGGTTTTCGGCCCCTTCTGCACTTACAAAAATGGTTGTAAGTGCAAGGGGTCAGAACTCGGGTGGTTGCATGTTGGGGGCCTCCTGTACAGTATAAAGTAAAAGCACGCACACACACACACACACACACACACACCCACCAGATTTCTCCAAGGAGAGGGGAAGAGAACAGATTTCATGGTTTGTGATGCATTTTTCACGGCAATGCATTTGGTAAGACCCTAACTGTAACCTAGCAACTTAAAGGGCACCAGTAAAGAAACACTGGGGTTAGAGAAGTGGGAGAAGGAAATCCATGCACCTAACAAACTTACTCTAAACTTAGGCTAATTACCCTCTCCAACCAACCAATACAAAAAACAAACAACCGAAAAATTGCCCAAACCCTGCAAGAGTAAAAAGAATGAAGGCAGAAGTCCAAAAGCTGAGTGAGAGCTAGCCACTGAATTGCACTGAATGCAACAGGTACCTGATCATGAATGCAAGCAACTCAGGGCCTTCAGAGCCACAGTATAGGATCTTGAAGCCAGGCTGACTGAACTGGAGGAGCTATGGATATAGATGGCACAGGTAAGAAGACTTTCAGGATCACAAGAATGGTCCTACCCACAGTCTGACAGCCTCTGTCAGGAAAGGAGAGCAAACTGGAGCAGAGGGGAATAATCCATTCGTAGGGACCTTCCTTCCAGATGATGTTATGAAAACCTCTCACACTGAGGATACATATCCTGTAGAGCAGGGCAAAAGGGCCTCTGCGGGCTGGATCTGGCTCACCAAGTGGATTGATCCAGACCATGGAGGCCCTGCCGCTTCCCTGCCCCAAGGCCAATTAGGACCTAGGGGTGGGGAGAAGTGCACAAAGTTTCCTCTACCTTGCCAGGAGCACGCAGCCCTTTGAAGCGCCACATGCTCCCGGCAGGTGCACTCCCCTGCCCCCAAGCCAATTAGGGCTTGAGGGTAGGGGGAGCACACGAAGTTTCCTCCACTCTAGCCGTGCCCTGTGATGAGGGTGTGGCACTTTGTGCGACGTGCTAGGAGCACGTGGTGCTTCTCTCCCCCACCCCCAAACCCTGATTGACCTGGGGGTAAGGGAGCACGAGAAGTCTCTTCCCATCACCAGGGGTATGGGTGCCTAGGGGAACCTGGGAGGGGCAAAGGGGCTCCTCCACCCCCAGACTAATCATGATCTGTGGGTGGGGAAGCCCCGAAGCATCCTGGCCCCACCCCTTCTGCTTGAGGCCCCGCCCCTTTTGGTGCAGCCCAGAGCCACTTAAATGTTTTGAAGTGGCCCCAGGCAAAAAATTATTGACCACCCCTCCTGTAGAGGAAACCCCAGTAACTTGGGAAGGCACAGGAATAGTAATGGGGGATATGATTATTACAAATATGGAGAGGTGGTTTGTAATGACCAGGAGAACTTCATAGTACATTGTCAGCCAGCTGCAAAGGTTGAGGACCTCATGAGATATCTAGACAGACATCTGGGTGGTGCAGGGGAGAAGCCGGTGGTTGTGTACTAAGATCATGTCAATCTGTTGAAAGCCAGATGTGTAATATTCAGCAATGAAAATGTGATTTTATGCCATCAGGATGTGACAGGGAAATCAGCATGTAAAATTAGGGAAATTCCTTGAAATAAGGGAAAACAGAGATGCAAAAGGAATCACATGGGGTATGTGTATTTTGCAGTTAGACTCCCACAGCTGCCCTGAGCCCACTATTTCAGAGTCATGGGGCTCAATTTAAGGAGTTGTTTAATTGCAGTGAAGATGTTCCCACTGGTCTCAGGCACTGACTGTGTTCTGGGACACTCCCACCTTTCAGGAACCACCCCAAGCCCACCACTTCTATATGGCCATTAAGTAGCTCCTTAGTCTATACTCCAGCAAGCTCGAATCAGCAGGCACAGGGCAGTCACTGGTGTTTCATTGAAGGGTCAACATATCTTTTCTTTTATATGGCCTCTTCAGTCAAGAGGGCTTTAACAAACAATTCTCTTATAATGGGTGAGGCACCCAGTCACAAACAAAACCCCACACAAAACACATCTTTGATTACATGGATAATTTACACGGAAACCTGTATTTATAAGTCTGTCTCAGAAACTGTACATTATAGATACCTCTGTATGTCTGGTTTTTTGTTATTTAACTGCCAAAAAGATTGGAAGTTTGTACTGAGCAATCAAACATTTAGTAGAAAAGCTAGCTCTTTCATTTCCAGACAACTTTGTGACATGTGCTCCCAAAGAGTTTCTTCAAACCCCTATGTGTTGCTTTTTTGTAGATGTCAGCCTGGCATGGTTTCAAATTACTTCTATGGATCATTGAAGATAAATAACTAACACTTGGAACGTTTCAGTAAGAGAGATTAAAGTTACTAGCAAAGACAGGAATTCACGGACACTTTCAGTCAGGTTCGCAATCCACAAATCTATGCAGTCTCAGAAAGCATAAGAGAGTCGGATATTCCATTAAAATATTTTTTACTTCATCTGGGTTTGACTGGCAAATATCACTGTTCAACAACAAGCAGACTTGCTCTATATACAGCAATTAAAAATCTCACCGAATCATGCATCATTTCACACACCTTCAAGATAGAGTTGACTCAGTGAAACATGCCGTGTTTGAAGTGAACTCTGACATGTGACTGATATTCGAAGTGAAGCTGACACCGTTACAGATACATCATAAAAAAATCAATTTGAGGAGTCTTCAAATAGAGAACGTTTTAGACAGGAACTGATTTTTTTTTTTTTAAAACAGGCAGAGGGCTCCAAACATTTTAAGTAATAGAGAAATGGTTCTGCATGGGTTTAAAGTCCATCCTTACACCACAATTATGTACATAGAGCTATATACAGTAAAAACTCTGTTATCCGGCATGTTAGGGAAATGGAGGCACCGGTTAATTGAATATTCTTATTAACCGAGAGTTACACTTTAACAGTGGAATACTAGCTTTTAGAAAATTAGAATACAACAAAATGAATTACGTATGAAATAGTATACTAGTACTCACCAATCCAGTAGTAGTACTGCACTGCAGAATGTTTGGTTTCTTGATGCACTTAGATGAATATAGGTAACATTTTCTATACAATAGGTTATTTTATGATACTACATATCACAAACTATACTGAACATAAATTAGTTTTTCTTCTGCAATTCAAAAGGCACTTCAGGATCTCATAGTGCCTCAGGGTCATTATCAACAGCAACCATCATTGCAGATGTAGGTAAGAGATGGGGTCATTACAAATTCAGCTCAATGACACACCCTTGAAGTTTTTGGGTGTGTGGTTTTTTTTTAAATAAATCCCTGATTTCAGCTTGTCTACTTCTCTTCTGCTTCTTTGGTATAAGCAAAGAGACAGAATATGCAATTGCATAATGGGCAATACTAATCCCGGTTACTAGCTTGAAAACGTGTACTGGGAGATATCAGAAATGTTTGTTAATTGAACTTTTTGGTTGAGTGCCAGAGAACAGAGCTTTCAGTTAACCATTTCCAGACATAGGGATCCTGAGGAAATTAAGATTGTATAAAGGAGAAAACGTTTTACATATTTCCAGGTCTGTGATAGTGTTGGTGCAAGAGGGTAAAACAGTCAATGATTCTGAAAGATAACACATCAACAAAACAATCTCCCTACTGTTTTAGTGGAAATGACTTTTTCAAGTGTAACATTTAGACTGTAAACGAAAGTTAACAAGACAGCTTGCACTGGTGACTGAAAGTTACAAGAAATGCCTGCAGCGAGACTGGATGCATTAAACTTAGATGAGTACAGTGTAATGCTTGAATAACCTACTTAAACATTTTGGGGCTGAACTGTTGCTTTTCAATATTGGAGAATGGATACAATTGTAAAAAAAAGCAGTTTAGCTACATTTGAAAAAAATAGATTTCTTGCAAGACTTTTTGGAATGTTACATAAGAATTAGGGAGGCAAATGATTATCCGGTAAGCCTCACCCTTAATGGATGAGGCTCACCAGTTCCAGTTAATCGGTAGGGGCTGGAACAGTTCCCTGCCAGCCCCAGGCAATGGGCTGCTCCAGCCCTGCCAGCCCCTGTACGTGGCTGGACCGATCCCCTCCCAACTGCAGGCAGGAGCTGCTCTGGCTGGCTGCCTCCTGCCTTTCCCCCCACCCCCACCGCAGGGTACACGCTGGCTCTCCGGGAGCTGGCTGCAGAGCCTGCTGTGAAGCCTCCCCGGTACCCAGCTTTGCCACAGACTCTGCTGTATAAAGCTCATATAAGCTTTATATTGCAGGGCCCACAGCACATGTGACTGTGAAACTGCTGGGATTTTTAGCACTTATACAGTTACATTTTTAAACAACTTATTAATCCCCAATAAGAATAGTGCCAACATTTTTAATATAAACAGGAAAATGGAACCATATGTTTGGGTAAAGCTCCTAAGTGCAAAGACAGAAATCAACATTTTACTCCATAAGAAAACATTTGTTAGACTGTCAAGGGATAACGGACAGTGAGAGCTGTTGTGGTTATCGGTTTTTTGTTTTGTTAAGGAATAATATGCAGCAGAATAGCATTCAACAGGTAAGCAATGTTAGCCATTTGATTTTTACCATGCAGATACATACTGCAGGAGGATCTGTTTTACACCTGATTATAGAATACATATCTGAGGGCCCTTGATAATTCCTCCCCCCCCCCCAAATCCCCCTGCCAAACACACACATACACAGGCACTAGAACATCTAGATATACCCATTCTCTCAAATCCTCGCTCCTTCTGACATTAAGAAAATGGACATGGTTTCTTTTGAAGATACTTCCAAGTTACTGAAAATTCTAATCAATTCAACACAGGACATAACTACTTACATTTCTGGGACTCAGCAATGATTTAAAATAATTCTATTTTAATTAAAATCAAACGAAACTTTGAAAGCTTGTCTATATGACATGGCAAAACACAGCAGGGGTGGTGTGATCTGTATAGCAAAAATGTGCCACACTAACTGCCCTGTGTAGACCTTGCTGTCACACACTACATGGTACCTAGTTCATGCTAATGGGGTCCCTTTTGAAATCACACCCCTTTAGCGCACTTTGCTGGAGCTGTATACACAAGCCCCAAGAAAAAAATTAAAAAGGGTTTTTCATTCATAAAATATTTTTCAGCATGACCCACACTGAACTAGGAATGTTAATTAGTTGGTTAATCAAAATGTGAGTAGTCGATGGAATTTCCATTGACTACTCAATTAGTCAATAAGAGGGGCGCTCGCTATCCCGTTGCGCCTCTCCCTTTGAAATATACAAGAGCTGCCCACGGCTCTTGAACATTTCAAATGAAGAGGCGCAGCAGGACTGCTCTGATCCCTGCTCCTGCGCCTTTCCCTTTGAAATGTACAAGAGTTGCCCTCAGCTCTTGCACTTTTCAAAGGGAGAGGCATAGCAGCAGGGACGCCTCTGCCTCCCCTGCCCCCCACAGAGATGGTGCTGGGGAAAACCAGCTTTTACATTGGCTCCCCCCAGCACCAGCTCCTGCTTCCCCCCCCCCCCCCCCCCGGCCCCCCCTCTACAGAGGCAGCAAGGGATGGTGGTGAAGTGACTAGTCAAGCGACTACTCGACTATCCGATAAGCTTACGCTCATCAGATAGTCGACTAGTCACTTACATCCCTACACTGACCTCTATCCTTATGCTCCTAAGAGTGGTCAAAAACTATACATCTGAAATGTTTAACCACCAACACTGTATAACTCCATCCATAAGCTAATATAGGACTATGTGTAAATAAATCTCAATTAATTCCTTACTCTCTCAACTATTGATCAGCCAGAAACACCATGAGCAAGTTTTTCTGAATCACTGAAATGATCAAAGAAGAAACATTTTCTTACTTGCAGTATTCAGTCAACTCCCAACTGAAGATGACTGAAGATCTGTGTAAGATTTTAGAATTCCTGAAAATTCCCTTTTAGCAGCAGATGTGGAAAAGCGATCCTATTTGAATAGATATTTCATAGATATTTCAACAAGGAATAGTCTAACCTTTTGTAATAAAAAGCCAACAACAAAACTATTTTATAAGAGGAAGAGATTCCATGTGACCACTTATTAATCACTGTTATGATTTATAGTTTCTCCAAAACACTGGAGGAATTTATTAAATTTCATTGCTATTACCTTGTATGAAGAAAAATAGAAAGCCACCATTTCATATCCATTAGATTGGAGAGTTTTATCATTAGAACACAGTGGTTGGAATTCTGTCTATTTCTAGTCATAAACCAACCGACCAGTAACAAAACCAGGCTACGCGATACAAAACATTTTATAATCTGCAGTGTTCTATGGGAAATTCCCACTCCAAAACTCAAGTCAGTAAGTTTTTACATTACGTATAAGCATTTTGTGTGTGTGTGTGTGTGCGCGCGCGCGCGCACGCGCATACGTGCTCTATGCATTCTAACCATGAGGCATCCACACTGAATTGATGAACTGGAAAAAAGAGATACTAGAGAAGACACCGCTTAATTGCAGGAGTTTAAGTAGCATTCTGAATTTAGGTTCAAATTTGACAATACAAATATCTTGTTGACAAATTTCAGACAAATGGCAGCAATCACTAACGTCCCTGATCTCTGAATTTCTGCTAGTGTTTCTTGCAAGACTTTGACATAGCCAAACTGCAAGAAAAACCTCTTCCAATTTTGGATATGGAAATGGAGGTATGAATTCCATTTTCAGACTGAAAATATTGTGTATATTTTTAATAGGAAAGGTTTTTTAAATAAAAATTAAATGGTTTTCCTAACACATGTGCTCTAGAAATTATTCTCGGGAAGTTCTGTGGACTGTGTTATACAGAAAATCAGACAATATGATCACAATGGTTCCTTCTGGCCTTGGAATTTATGAAAACTACCACTCCCCTTTCTCCCATTTCCTTCCCTCCTCACTCATTCAATGAGTTTGGGTCTAAGGTCCTAATGTTCACTGTACTGCACCGAAAACTGAAGTTTAATACAAGAGCAACAAAGTCACATTATCTTTAACCAAAAAAGTAATCAAATTAATCCCCTGCCTCGCAACTCTTACACCCAAAATACATATGCATGTCTATATACACTACTATAATTGGAGGACTGAAGAAGAAAATTATGTTCCTTCTTTCTATGCTTACAGAGTATATTATATACATAGACATATACACACACAAAACCCAACAGAATACAAAAGGTAATATTTCTATTGATGCCATAGAGAAAAAGTAAAGCAACAGAATAATCAAGTTTAGGTGGTTTGTATCTTGTTACAAAGCCTGGTCAGTTTACAGTGTCTGCTTAATAATAATATCCTACAATTTAGGATACTATACTCAAACATAAGGCTTGGGAGCCTGTAATTTGTAAAGTTATGTCAGGTATCTGCATCATTCATACGATACAAATACATACTCTTACAACGTTAAAGACAGATAAACTTAAATAAATTAGGTATGGAAATGTTTTGGAATGTTCTAAAACTAAACCCATACACATTATAAATCAGTTCCATTGACTGATTTTATAGCATTAACTTGAAGACCACTGAAATCTATGCACTGCAGTAATTAGACATTAGGTTGATAGGCCTACTGTCTACTGACAGGGGGTAGAGCCTTGCTGCTCTTTCAATTGTAACTAATACCATATGCCTTTTCTTCAACATATCCCTGCTAGCATACAGGCAAACATTTAAGAAGCTGAATATTTTTAAATTCATCAGTTACCTGATAGCTTCATAAGGAGCTCAGATGCCGCCTTGACGGACATGTCCTGCCTTAACACATTTGTCTGCACTTCCTGTGGCTTGACAGTCTCCCCAGGGATGCTTGGGGCTGAGGCTTCAGATCCCTGGTTGAAGACATAGCAGGACTGAGACAAGATTGAGCTTGCAGCTTCTTCATCCCGAGGCTCGTCTTTCACTTTAAACGTAGGAGTCAAGAGCTCTTTTTGATTCGCAGCTGTCAAAGGAGTTAAAAGGCTGGACTTAATGAGGTATGTAATGCATAATTATACAACAGCAAGTAACAAACCAACCGCCACCTGAGAACAGCTGTAGTAGGTATTAGTCAATAGAAAATGACACACAATTTAAAAAGGCTGGTGAGGTAGGTAGGTAGCTGCATCTTTTGAACAAACAGCAACTTTGGGACACAAGATCTCAGAGTTTTGAATCTTAAGGAAATGTGTACTTCTCACCCCTCCCTTTCTTCTGCCTCTGCCCTCACAATAGCTTTCCAACAGCTTGTGTTACCTTGTATGTCTCCCACAAGCCTCATGGACATCTAAGGATAACAGTTGATATAACAGCCAATTGGGCACAGGCTGTAACTGTTTAATTATGAAGCCATTTTTTTAAAAGCAGCATATAAAAGAGAGGAATAATACAGGATAGCAAGAGCACAGGCAGAAAAAAGGCGCAAAGGGAAATGAAGAGAAGCGCAAATTAGTTACCCAAATCCAAATGGTTTGTTTTAATAATCTTACAAATGGACAAAAGATTTTTTTAGAGGTCCCAAATACTTCTTGGAGTAGTCAGCCTTGTGTTATCCATATATTTTGAAGACCTAGTTAATATTTTAACTCCCGAGTCTCCACCTCTGAGAACAAAACAAAACAAAAGCTAGCAGATTCTTTTTAAATATCTTAAAATGCCTCATGTAAGCAAGCAATTGCTGCTTCTGAGAGCAGGATCCAGACACCTTGGTGCTGCTTATGCTGGGCACAGAACCACTTTGGCAAATAGTTCTTCAGTTAGTAGTGGATGATGTTGGATCATGATACTGGATTTGGTCAAATCAGGAACCAGGAACTTGAATATCATTGAAACAATATTCCCAACCTAAAAACATTCTAAGGTCATGACTCAGGCCCCCTAAAATTATGAGAATTGAAAATAAAAGTCCTGATTTACAGAAGAGTATAATTGTTTTTCACCTGCCTTTTAATTTTTTAACTTTTAGGCAAAGCCACCTGTTCCCAGTTTGCTTGTGATTATCTATTGTTCAACATTCCACCTTGTGTGCACTCAAAAATATAAGCCTCCATGTTACAGGGGGATTCTCCTGACCTGCACCCCAGGTCCCTGGGGAGCTGCCACTCTATACTTAGTAATGGAGTAGGCAGCTGTGCTCAAAACATTCTCCCACCCTTCTCCTGTCCATTCTCCTGTCCTTCACCCGCTGCACCCCTACATGTTGCTCAAAACAGCCAACTGTGGGGACCGTGTGCACTGTGCACTACAAATCCCAGAGAGGGAGAGAGGAAGCTTCGTGCACTATGCCCATCCCCAGCATAATCTTGCATGCAGCGCGCAGAGGCCTCCCCGAAGGGGCACACACAAAGCACATGGCCCCTGCAGCCTGCCACTTCGAACGGTATGTGGGGCCACAGCAGGCAGAGAACCTGCCCAACACTCCTGCGTGGGTGATGGCTGGGAGCTGCCTAAGGTAAGCACCTCCTGGCTAGAGCCTGCACCTGGCATCCCACCCTCTCCCTCACCTAACCCTGTGCCACCCCTCCTGCATCTCTGCTCTAGGTCACAACCCTCTCCTGCCCTAAGTCATTATCTAAGCTTTTCTGATTTCTCTTGTATGGATGTATTAATGTAGACAGAAGTCATAATTCATACAGCAGAAGAGAGGCAGAATACATGTTTAGCTGAAAGCAATTCTTGTTGGCACATTTCCTGAACTGTCAAAACTCTCCCCAAATGAATACTTCCAACCCAAAGGGCACACAAAACCAGGACCGTTATTACCTGGGCTTAAATTCTCAGACACTGTTTCCTAGTGTCTCCACATCTGTCCCTCTTTTGGGGCTCCAGGCTTCATCTGTGGGTCAAGGCTTCCAGGGGCCTGAACCCTGCAGGAGGTGCTGCAGGGCTTGAATCCTACTAGGGCTCCCATGGGTTTCGAAACATTTTCAAAACTCTGCTCTAGATGGCGCCAGCTGAACTTAAGCCCTAGTTATTAGAATTAATTTTTTAAAAAAGAACCAACTGTATCAATACTACAGCTCCATTTAGTATTCCCTGTCACTCTAACTTGAGAGAGAAAAGAGGATGCCAAGCTAAATCAAGCCTATCTAGAAGGATGATCAAACACAAATAAGGTTATTCAGAGTGATGGATCTGCACTAGAATAAATTAAAGTAACAGGTAAGAAAAATAATCTAGTCTTTTTCCAGTCCTGGTTTCACTGCTCTGGACAGAATTCATAACACATGGGAAGTAGTATGCAGTGACCAGTCCCCAACCACATTGGCAGATATAGCGAACAGATGTAATAGTCATTACAAATAAGGGAACAGAAGGTTTTTGACGGAATCTGCCGAACAAACCAATTCACTTACTGTATATTTCTAAGTGCTCACAATGCTTACGATTGAAAACAGGAAAACAAATGAAGCTTGGTGTTATAAGTTGGGCACAGTGATGAAGACTGGTCTGTGATCTAATGACTAGAGAGTTGAAAGTAAGAATTTAAGAAAATAAAAGAATCCCCACACAACCTTCCTACTGAAGGTAAGGGTTGCAAGAAAAGAGATCTACAGAGCCAGCAAACACACACATATTGGTTGAAAATAGCTGTAATGGAAGGCTCTACAAAGCAATAATCTTAGGGCCCACAATGCCTTATAAATGGTGTTTGTGAGCCACGACTACAAAGACATGAGATAGCAGGATACAACCAAAGACATTAGTGGGATAACATGCTGAGACTTGCTCCTAAGTTGGCTTAGCTTCAAATCTTTCTGTAGGGAACCTTAAGGTATATGGGGTGGGGGGAGTGGAGAAGGAATAATGTTTTAGCCAGGTTCCCACCGAAGCTAGAACATCTGAGTGACTCGGTAAGTGAATAGTTACTAAAATTCCAGGTAGGAAGTTGCAGGCACTGGCAACCAGGAAGACAAAAAAAAATTAAGATAATTCATATTTGCTATAGTCGAAAGGATCCATTGTTTGATGTTGAATATTTACACCCGAAAAGGAAACTGATCAGTAAAGGGCTAGCAGAATGACTGACGAGTGTTCCTTGCTATTTTTGCAATTATATTGGGAAAGTTGAAGAAGGGGAATCCTACAGATGAATGCCAGCAAAGAAACTAATTCACGCTTACAGACAACCAGAAAGTTAGTAAAATCTTCAAAGTCTGCAAATGGAATAAGGGCTGAAATGGTTTCTTTGCAGGAAGCAACAGCATGTTAGAAACTGTTCAGAATAAGATCCCATTTCTCTGATAGTTTCTGTTTGACTTACAGAAGTCAAGTCCTGACTCTGTAATGGAAATGGAAAGATGCTGATCCGCTTGGACAGAATCTAGCTGGGTCTCTCACCTTCTCTTGTTGTTCCTGGTGCCCTCTCCTCAAAGGATCTGATATATTACAAAACACCTGTTGTCACTCACCAATTGTGCGGTAACACAGTTCTGTTCAGTTTCCAGCTCCTTTAGTACTCAAACCTCTGCCTCAGGTAAACCAAGTAGACTACCACCCAGCCTCCCCACTCAAAGAAATTTGCCTCCATGGGAACTATTGCCCACCAATTCACTATGTGTGTTTGAGATCCTCAGCAAGGATGTGAATTAAAATATACCTTGTGAAAGAGAACTAGGGTGGTAAAACTTTAATGTGGGCATGCCCTAAAGGGAAGGGATCCTTGAGCACCCACCTATCATATGCAGCATACTATTTAAATTCATGGTCATCCAAGTCATTATAGGAATATTATGGCAAAATCTAAGTAGTAATAGAAGTGAAAGGTTTAAAAACAGTTAGCTAACTAGTCCCACCTTCTCAAACTGGTTTGAACCTAAGTTCTTGGGAGAGACCTTTAAGGAAACTATGGAGTGCTAATTCAAATCACAAGTATCGCCCAAAGAAGTCCTTTCCCTTACCATTACTGGCTGGATTACAGCTACCCCCTGAACTCTGAACCCAGAAGAGAGAGCTTGCAGAGAAGGAGAATGACTGACCATGATGCTCAGAAAAATGGGAACTTCTTGCCTATATGGAGCCCACTGAATGAGCTGTCCTTCCCTTACTGGGAACCTGCTTGCAGGCTATATGTAATGCAGGTTGTGGTAAGGTGAAGACAAGAAAATATGGGTTTAAAAACCCCTCTGCTATGGTCTTTAGGGCCATTCCTCAGTTTGTCCATTGCAACAGAGGCATGATAAAGCAGATCAGTACCAAGTGCTAAAACTATCCCGTTGGGGGGCTTTTTCCAACCCCCCAGATTAAGACTATGCTGGGGGAAGATGGGAGGAAACAATTTATTTTCTATGGGAAAGAATTCCTTGCAAAAATCTCTCAGAGAACAGCAGAGGAAACATCTGCTCTCTCCCATGAAAGTAGAGAGCCTGGGGAAAGGGCAGTTTGACTTAGCAAAAATGCCATTAGAAGGGATTTCCAAACAACAAGTGAATGAAACTCTGCCTTTCTGTCAGTGGTTCCGACTGAAAGGCCCATAAGTTACATCTTCTACCCAGAGAGTGGCTCTATCCCAGAACAAACAGAATTTACATTATATTTGATTCTATGAATAATACTTTGTGTACATTTTCAATATAGTTCGAAAATATACACTTGTGTATTCCTTGCCATGGCTTGGGCAAATGAACTGAGAAGCTTCAAACTACTCTCTTCATTAGGGCAGACTTTGCATTCCTGTATACTGCGGAATTCTGTGCATTTCTGGAAGATGTAAGATATATGTGATTTGATTTTGATGCCAACCAATTCTTGGATGTAAAATGGCAATCTATTGGGGAAGGGGAAGATGAAGTTATTAAGAGCTTGTATTTAATTAACTGTGCTATATCCCTTTTTGGGTTTTATTTTCAATTAAAAACCTAGATTATGAAAATATGAATGTGAAGAGACACTTTAAAGAGCTATCTTGACATCAGGAATAGCTATATTGACAGCAGCATTATGGAATGTAGAATATTTTTAACT